GGTTAGCTTGCAAACCTTTCACTGATCATGAATATATAATTAGAATGCCATGAATGTGCGTAAATATTGAAACACGATAATGAAAAAAAATGGAACAAGAGTGACTTCTGTGTACCGTTTCAATGCGTAAGGCTTGAGGTTTTTGATTGGAATGCGTCCTATATTGCTCAAGGAAGCTAATGGGATAGGTTTTGTGCCTTGAATCCACCTAAAAAGTGTTTTTCAGATTTGAGTTTTTAGAGAAAAAATTCAAGCTTGATAATGATTTTCTGAAGCAGTTGTGCGTGTCCGAACATTAGGGTTATGCTTAGGCTTTTGTATTGATCAGATTAGGTCAAGAAAATTGCCCAAAGATCCATGAATTAAAGAATCCAATATTTGATTTTTCCACCATGATTTCCATATCTTTTTCCATGCAATTTTGTGTCAATTAGGATCCAATCAAACCAAATCTTCCCATATTTGAATGTGCACGAATTATTGAGTCTAAAACATGTGCAAAAAGATTTGTTAGGTTAAATTAAGTATTTTTCATATATTTAAATGATTTAAATGAATTAATATAAATAAAAATTCAAATAAATAAATAAAAAATGAGAAAATACTTCCCTTTGGGCCAAGTGGTCGTGCACATGCTTGGAATGATGAATTGTGGAAGAAAAATGGGCCCATTAGCAATTTTAGGTCATTTGAATCAATGTTGACTTTTCAAAATATCCAAAAATTTCCCAACTTCCACAAGGCATAACTTGCTCAATTTTTAAGCTTTTCTCATGTTCTTGGACATTTTGGAAAGGTCTTTGAGTCCTCTAACCAATGCCTTTGGTCCCATGTCATTTTGATTTACCAATCTCAAGTTATGGCCTTTGACTTAAAGTCCCTTTTTGTTGACTTTTGAAAATGACCTATAATGTTGAAATTGATAACTTTTTGTGAGCGCATTTCTTGGACTTGAAGTATGAAGATGAGTTGTAGTAAATGTCTTTCTATTCAAAATGAGCTTTGGATGGGATTTTTCTGATAATCCATGTGAAAGTTATGCCCTGGTCAATTTCAGTTGACTTTTTTTCAGCTGTCCAAATAAGGAAACTTTTGCATTTTAATGATTTCTGAGCCAAATTTTGAGAATCATGATCAAGCATTGATCAAATGATGTTTGTGGCTTCAAAATGATATGTTGACCAAAAATTTGAACTTTTGACTGTCAAATGACCATTTTGCCCCCTACAGTTGACTGTAGTGCAATTAGGGTTTTTGACTGTGCAATTTTGAGCTGATTGTCTTGAAACTTGATATGAGGATACTTGACCATATTTGTAGGCATGTTAGACTTGATTGGACCTTTGGAAATTCCATTTTCTTGATCAGAACACAAACCCTAGTTTTGACTGTATGGGAGACCTTTGCACTGTGCAACCCTTGGGGGAGATTTGAAGCTTGACTTGGCAAATCTTTGAAAAATATGGGAGGGCAAATTTTGGGGTACAACACTTGGGATATAAGTGAGGCTTAGAGATTTGTTTCCTTACACATGCATGCATGTTCTGAATGTTGTAAAAATACACCACAAGACCATTTTCACCTTGCCTATCACGAATCCACACATCATTAACACATAAATGCACAAATAATATTAACGGATCTATGCTTAACACAATCACTCTTATTATACTTCCACTCCCTTCCACACTATTTGTAGACTTGTTTTAAGTGACATTGAACTTGTCACCATCAACATTATTATTTCTTCACTCATGCTTAATTTTAAAGAATAGACTTTTTCAAAGTCAAATATAAGTAGCATTTACTTCATGTAGGTACGATACTCTTATACTTATTACTTGTTGTAATCACAACATGTATACTTACATGTGAAAATTTAGTTTCGTGATTTCAACCAACACATTCACCTTCCATGATTATGACCAAGATTGTATTCTCTTCATCAACCTATTGTCTAGCAACCTTGCCTTCATCTCCTTGCAATTTCCTATGTTTTACATTGCATTCTCTTATAAAATGACCGAACATTTCACAATTGAAGAATTATCCCTTGCTCGTGTCAATCTTTCCTCTTTCGCCTTTAAAGTTTCCTTGACCACCATTTTTGTTGCAGCTGCTCTCACCTTTTTTACCGTTCGAATTCTTTGAATTTTGAGACTTTTTTCCACCAAAATTTAGAAAATCCCCTTTGCTCTTTATGAGTCATTTTCCTTTCGACTTCTTGTTCCTCTCATTGAACCGTGCTTGCAAAGTGACCTCTGCCTTTTGCCTTGTTTTTATTTCTCTTCTCTATCCTTTGCTCATGAGCCTCAAGAGAGCTTTGAAGCTCGTCTTTGCAAACGTCGAAAGATCTTTCGACTCTTCAATCGCCACTATAATGTAGTCAAATCTTGTCGTTAAAGAACCCAATATCTTCGACACAACATTCTGCTCATAAACAGTTTTTCCATATGACTTGATTTGGTTCACCAATCGCGTAATTCTCATCATGTAATCGTTGATCGCCTCCTTTTTCTCCATTTGAATCAATTCAAACTGATGTTTGTTAGTTTGTAACTTCATCATTGTTGCCTTATCAACCCCTGTATATGTTTTTCCATAATTTCCCACACATGCTTTATTGATTCTCAATCGCCAATTTTCTCAAAGTTGTCACCATCCACACATTGATGGATCAAGAGTAGTGCTTTATAATCTTTCTTCTTTTCTTTCTTATGTGTTGCTTGTTGTGCATCTGTTGCGCCTTCAACAAGTGGCTTCACCCTATTCTTGATCACTTCAAGAACATCTTGGTAGTCAAACAATACCTTCATTTGATTGCACTATTTATCGTAATTGTTTGCATCAAGGGTAGGTTTGTAAGGGTTTTTTCATTGGAGACAAAATTCATTGGTGTACATTATGTGTTTCTGGATCAGAACCAGGGACTTGATGTGCAATCACATAATTGATAAACAATAGAGTATGTGGAGAGAGAGAGAGAGAGAGAGAGAGAGAGAGAGAGAGAGAGAGAGAGAGAGAGAGAGAGAGAGAGAGAGAGAGAGAGAGAGAGAGAGAGAGAGAGAGAGAGAGAGAGAGAGAGAGAGAGAGAGAGAGAGAGAGAGAGAATTGAAGATGAGAATAATATTTTGAATTACAATTGATGAGGATGTCTCCAAAGCATTTATACAAGCATTCCAAAGTGATTAGAACATAAAACACACAATTCAAAAGCAAGAAAAAGAAGGAAAAAAACTCGTAGTTGTAATCGATTAACACAAAGCATTAACTGTTACAGCTGATACAAAATTCAAAAATACAAACAGGTGTAACCGATTACTACTAATGCATAACCAATTACGCCAACTCCAAAAATATTTTTTCCTCTTTCATAACCGGTTACACCCTCGTGTTAACCAGTTAAAACACTTGAATTATTTGGTTTTCTCTTAACGCAAATTTCCATACATTATCTATGGTAAGATGATTTTCTTGCAATTGAGCATGTGACGCATCACTCTATATGCCCAATTGATTAAATAATTCAATCAGTATTGATATGGTCACAATGTCGTCTTTTTTACGAGTTCTTTTGATTGTATTCCATGGGAAAAAAATTGTCACTCATTAAGTGGTGCCCGGAATAGTACTCCACCTTCAACATTTTCACTTTGATAGGAAGCATGCGATCATAAATTTGATAAGGAAGCTTGAGATAGTGATGGAGAGGCATAAGGGTCATTAGTGGTGAAGGTTATTTCATATACAACTAAATTTTACAATTTTCCAAGGTCCTTTATGGTGAGGAAAACGTTTTTTCTTGCTAACTTTTTAGATGAGATAGACCAATCTTCAAGCTTCAGATTTACATAGAACATTTTGACAAACCTTTCCTAAGAGAGTTCTGATTTCTTGGAGAATTTTTTTTTAAGTAATAGTTTGAAAAACAATATCGTAGAAGATGAATATTTTAAAAATACATTCCTTCAAGATAAACAAGCTTCTCGATTGATGAATTTTTTGTTGAAGAATGGACATTTGACGAAGAGATTTCAGCAAGGGGTCTTGGTGAAGCCATGATGATGATATAATAAAAGTTCTTATACAACAAAAAGAAGAAACTTAGAATGAATAAGGATAAAAGGGAGTGTAGCTTTATATAGCTTGGTTTATACGAGTTTTAGGCCTGATTTAGTCGAGATAAATCTTTGTTGGTCTGAGATATTTGGTTCAAAAGGATATTTGAATTAGAAAATCTTGTCCAAAATTGATTAAAAATCTATTTAATCGATTAATTCTTCATGAAATTCATGTCTTCCTTTGATTCTGATCAAATATCAATTTCCTAAGAGCAGAACAATGAAATCAGTAAAGTGTAGTTTACAATATTGAGGCATTTATGATTAATCAGAGCCCGGCATGTCATGTTTGTCTTGATTTCTTATTGTCTTTAGATGTTGGTAGCAGCATTCACTGAGTACAACAACATTAATGACTGAATTGAAATGCTCAGAGCTATGTCTCCCTATAAAACACACTACAACTTGTGTCTTACTATCAAATTTCATTCCCTCAACAGTTCTCTTCTTGTGTAAAAAAATTACACTATATATCATCAGAACAAGAAATACTGTTTTTTTCAAACACAAATTTTCCATAATTGCACACTGTAAACTAAAATATGGCCAGCTCAACAAAAAATGCTATAGAATTTCACCTGGTTGAACAAACTTAGTGAGATCCTCATGCCTTTACATTCTTGAATTATATTTAGTGAGCAAACCTATTTCAGTAAAATAGAGACTTCCACTTCTAAACATATGATACATATATTCACGCGTCAAACAAGGAACATTCACTAATACTTTCCCTAACCTACATCCAGGCATCCGTAGGGTGCCACTTACCCCGTAGCGGCCTCGGCATTAACGAGTTTGGCAAGCCATATGTAAAACTCTGACCATAGTTATTTCCATCTGACTGGAACAAAGGCCAAAATACGCATTGTAGACTTAACATCAAAGTTCAACTTTCATCTGATTTGATGCAGCAGTACCTACAAGAGCATGGAGAAACAATGTCATTTATATCGAGGAAATGTAATTTTAAGAAAATGGCTTCTTTGTTTGGGGAATTTATACCATCGACATCTTGATTACTCGTGGGAGCAGTTGTTGCAAAGCTCATTTGTATGACATTGTGAAGCTCATCCTCCCACATATCAGGCATCTATAGCAAATTGTATCAAAAATACGCACACAATAACCTTATGTGAATGTAATTTTGCCGCAAATGTAACTTCAATGTATGAATACCTGATTTGGCTCCTTGAACCCTCCACTCAATTGTGGATGAATAGCTCTACGAAGGATATCGGACGGGTTTGTCATGTTTGGAATAACTGATTGAATCAGCCCTGGTTGAGGTTGATGTAATGGAGGAAAATTCATAGACATCTCTAAAGGAAACCCTAATGCTGATGAAGGACCAGGCCTTTGGTGAAGAATCTGACACACAATGTTCAGAATACAGTAACACAACGTCAGAAAGAGTTGCAGATCATATGCTTTCCTTTTTTTTTTTCTCTAACCGGTGTGCAAATAGATTAACAACTTACATCTTTAGCAAGAAGGCCATCAATATTAAAATCCAGCCGGGGATTTACCGTTGCAAGTTTCATAGATAAAAACTGCCAAAAGAGAAAAGACGGGTCCGAGTCAATTTCACATGAATGGAATGCAAAGGGTCACAAGAATGCGTGTCAGAGCATTAATTCAATATAATCGTAAATTGGAAAAGGATGGAAATGAGGAAATCTACCAAATTATGAATGTTGATATTGTGCTGAAGTAGAACTAAAATATACAGGGCAAAACAATTACATGGATGAAAATCTCTGGTGGGATATACAAAGATAAGAGTTCAACTTTGACTATACCTCAACTTGTCGTTGAAGTGACTGTACATAGTTGATGATTTCGTCCAGCATTACAGCCTTGCCAGTGACCTGCAAACATCAACAAACTTTGGAAGTTAAAAAGGAAGCGACCACACGAAAGCAATTATAACATAGAATAGTGAATATATCTAGTTTAAAATTTGGAAGCCACCTTGCTGCATCCAGGCACAAGTTCCTGAAGAAACTTCATCCTCTCACTTATTTTTTCCCTCCGCACCTGCAATGTATTTCTAATTAAAATTTCTGCGTTAAAATTCCTAATTTTCACACACAGATGATTTGTCACAATATCTTACCCTCTCTGCAAGGCTATGGCTGTTTGTTGCTTGACCCCGGCGAGCCCTGACATGTATGTATTCATCCTTAGGTGGATCAGAAGATTGAGAGCCCTGTTTGGCCTTACTTGTCGAAGTTGGTTGTTTGTCTCCCTTCTGTTGATTCTCAGGGTTGTCCTTTGCCCCTTCACTTTGTAGTTCTTGAACTTCATTAGCTTTATTGTTATCAACATCCTACCACAAAGAATAAATCAAACACATTAGGGAAAACAGTATCACAAACACACAGACACGGGTCAAAATAAAGCTCACAATTCGCAAACCATACCTGTCCACTTCTTTTTCTTTTCTTCGAGTTTAATCCTTTAATAGAAGGCTCCCCACTAGTAGTACCCTCCAACATTGGGGGAACCACCCTGTCCGCCACCACCACCATCATCGCCCGACTCGCCTCTATCAGAATCATTAGCATTCTGAACAAGAGTCTGCTTCCCTTCATCTTGAGACATGGCACGAGTCTCACTTTTATCATTCATTAAAGGGCTTCCTCTAGTAACCAATTGCTCAATAGACGGAGACACGCCTTTTGTAGCTCCTTCAACTACATTAGGATCACTACTTTCTTGTGATTGTCCCCCAGTTGCTATTTTCAATCCAACGCCCGCAAGAGCATCTCTACCTCCATGAACCGCACCACCGACATACATAGCCATGGATTGAGGAATCCCATACGAGCTCATCACATCACCAAAATTCCCTCCACCAAAGCAAGAGAACCTCGCAGCCCTTTCAATAAAACCAGAATCAGCTGGAAACTGAGATAAATTCTGAGGAAAAACCCCTTGTCCATTCGGTAAAAAAACCATCCCCTTTCAACATAGAACCATCCTGGTTCCAACCCATTTCAAGTCTTCCATGATCATGACCACCTCTTCCAAAACCAAACCCATCTTTTCTAATTCCAACCGCATTCGAAGAACTCCCATTATGTTGAACATTCATCTCACAAAATCCCAAATTTTGGGAATTTCCTGAATGGTCCCAAAAGTTAGGACTAAAAGAGTCCACCATAGAGGCAGAGGAACATGGAGAAGAACCAACCAAATCCCCTCTATTGATACTCATAGAATTACCAATAGAAACCAACCCAGCAGAAGAATTCACAAGATTCCCACCACCAAAGCTCCAATCAGGAGGCACACCAGAAGAGTAACTCATAGGATCCCCATTTCTATCAACCTCAAACTTTTCTGTGTCACTCATATCAAATTATCAGAGAAAAATTGACCAAACACAAAGAGCTACTTTCAAGTTTTAATAGTAGCCAAACCAAATAGTAGAAGAAAAAAAAAACAAGCTTGAAGTAAGGAACAAAGGGTGAGAGACAGGATGAAATAAATGTTGAAACAAAAAGCAAGTACCAAAAAGATGTACCAAAAGGTTCACACGAGTTTAGCAGCTACCATTTCCAAAGCTTGAAAGTACCAAGGACCCCCCCTAAAGACTCAAAAAGAGTGAGTGAATTACACAAACAACAACATTGGTTTCAGGATAATAAATACTTAAGGTCATTGAAGGCAGGCAGCACTAGTCAGAGAGAGTTGCAGATAATAAAAACCAAACCAAAACCAAACAAACCCTTAGAGAGAGAAAGATAAGAACTTTAAATTAAAAGTAGCAAGAGAAAGATACCCAATTTCTGATTCTGTGCTACTTTTAGCACCCTTCCTTTCACAAAACAATAACACTTTAATCAAATTTGGGGTTTTTTCTTCTTTGATAACAACACTGTGGTGGGAGAAGAGAGAGAAAAAAAAGGGAAAGAGGATTAAAGAGAGTGGAAAGAAAAGGGTAATGAGAAAGGAGGGTTGTGATTTATATACCTCACTCACTCAGAAAATGAGTTAGTTTTCACGCTTACATAAAAGAGAGAGCTTTTGATGATTAACCACCGCCACTTCAATTGTATAATAATCTAAATACCTGCCCCTTAAGCACCTCTTCCTCAACTTTGAGAAATTAATTATCATTGTTAAATAAATAGTACATCAAACTTGTACAGTCATTTTAAAGGAGTAACGGTACCTCTCGAAATACTACTAGTTTAAGTGACAAAAACCAATATCTATAAACTAGAATTCATTATTGTTGAAAGAGTTATCTCAAACTAATATGTTGTTCGGTCGAATTAATTTGGCATGTATGTGTCGAACGGTTGAAAAAGTTGTCTCGATATGGAATTTCAATTAAAATAAATGTAATTGAATTAGATTAAGTTGCTATTTTAGATTTTTTGTATCGTGGATATTTTATCTTAGAGAATAAACTAGTTCATTATAAATAGAGAGAGGAATTCTTATTTTTGTAATATATTGAATATTTATTTTGTAGTGGCAAGTGAATAAGAACATTTTTCATAATTTGTGAACAGAGAGAAACTCTGTAGAAATCCTAATCTCTTTTTCTTCTTTAATTTTTTTTCCATTGTTATTGTGTGGTGATAATAATCTTTGTTCATCAAGATCCATAGAAATTCATCATAAGTTGTGGTTGATTTCTAATATCTAGTATTAGAGATTTTGGTTTCGAGATATGGACCAGCTTACTTGTATCGAAACACTTACCGCAGATAGTGGGTAGAAGGCATTGTGTATAGACTCACACTTGAGGGGGGAGTGTTGAGAATCAAATGTGAAGAAGTCTCACATTAATTATAAAAGAGAAGATTTAACACTTTATAAGTGAGAGAACTCAGACAACTATCATCTTAAAATTTTAAGTGAATATATTGTGTGTCTCTCACAAAAAAGTGTATCCCAAATGTAAAATCCTCCCTCCTCAGAATTATAAAAAGACAAGTATGTTCCATTTTTTTGTCTATTTCGCAAAAGTACTAAAAAAAATATAGAATGGGAAACATAGTTGAGGATCTGAGGCTAAAATTTAATCCACACAGCAAAACATAAGAATCGGTCAAGTCAAATCTGTAAATATTGTATCTTTTAAATCTAAAAAATATAAAATTTTACATTAATATTCACATTAGTAAAAATGTATAAAAATGAAAATGAAAAGGGACTAATACATTAGAGGATATTATATGAATTTAAAATTTTGAATTACTTCGAAAAAGAAAGAGGACGGGTGTCCTGTACCTTTCAAATTTTAAAATATATAAATTTATATTAATATTTGCATTCACAAATTCGGTAAAAAAAAAATAGGACACACATTAAAAAAATACAGTTTTAAACTCTAAACAGGTATGAGTCTCATTAGAATCCTTATATAATTATTTATTTTACTTAGTTTGAAGTTTAGACAAGTAATAATGATAATTTGAGCTTGCAAGTGACATTGCCAACTCTTACATGGGTTGTTTTTCTGTTTATCTTATTACATTGTCCTTTATTACATCTTGAAATAAGTGCACGAGATCTTTAATATGGTCAAGGACCCCAAATCTAGCTGGGTCATCTCTACTCATTTCTTTTTTCCTTGTGCAATATACTAATACTAATAGTATTAAATTAAATACTATAGTACTATATAAACTATAAACAACCCATATGGGTCTTGCACTGTGGTGGATTATTATTAACGTTAGGTGCATTGTCTAGGTTCTTAGGGAGACTGAGAGAGAGAAATTCATGAAAAGAAGATACATTGTCTGTCAATATCTCGTTGTGATTATTAACCTCTATTATCTTGTTTGGTATTCATATTTAATTATTTATGGGTGTACATAGATGATTTTTCTACTATCTTGTAGTAGTATGCATTTTACTCTCTTTTTTGTTTGTTTGTGCTGCCTATGCCTATGGAAACAGAAGAGAGCATTAATTTTGTAGAATTATTGCCTAGCAAGAATAATTATTTTAGGGTACAAGTCTAGCATAAATGATTTGCAAATATAGTATTCGAGTACTCTCTTTATGTCAATTACTAGAAAATAATTAAATGTACTAGTATTCTACAGAATTTAAAGAAGGAGTATTTAGTAAATCCGTGTTAAATGGAATAGAGGGTGCAGTTAGTAATTATGTAGTTATGGAATGGAGGGTAAGGTACAATCTAGTAATGGCTTCATGGATACCTAAGGAAAGTAGGATTAGCAAAATGGAACCGATTTATGAGAGCAGTCAAGGGTTTAGTTCACTTTTTTTTAATAGATTTTGTTTCTTTCCGTTTTATCTTTTAATACATTTTGCATAAATTTAATATAAAATTTTGTATTTTTAAATTTAAAATATTTTAAATTTTTTTTTGTAAAATGGATCAAAATTTTAAATTTTCACCTTCAACTAAACTCATCTGGTCAACACATTTTTTTGTTTGAATTTTTACAAAACACATTTAAACGCAGCAGACTTTTCATATGTCAACCCCAAAGAAAAGTTTGAGACAAATGTGAAAATTTTCTCATCTAGTCATTGTTGGAACATACAAAATAAGTTGGTGAATTAATGATGAAAATGATTAATTAATGATGAAGTTAGAGAGAATCTGGAGATTATAAGAGAGAGAGAGAGGAGAAAATCGTATTTGACATTAACAACAAATATTACAATGAGGGAGTATATATAGGATACAAAACATAACAAATTGGAATCAAAACATGCCCCATAAAACAGGAGAAAAAAATACAAAAATCGTGTTGGAAATCGATTTCCCAAAATAAGAGAATCGATTTCCTGAACTGAAAATGCAAATCCCAGAGAAATCAAGTTGTGGAAATCGATTATCCATTTTGTGGTAATCAATTTCCTCTTTGAAAATTCCAGATTTTCATTTTCAGAAGTGCTTCTCAAATAAGTTGTTTCAACGTAATGCTTCCCAAAGCTTCCACATTGCATTTGAATTATTCTAAACTTCCAATACACCACCTTAATTCAAATGATTCAAGTTCTTCATACTCAAACGCACCACAAGCTTCTTAAACACCACATTTGTTACACCTTTCGTTAATAAATCTGCAAGTTGTTCTTCGCTTCGACAGTATCTTAACCTCAGTTGGCATGCACGCACCAGCTCTCTCAAGTAATGAAATCTTATCTCGATATGCTTGCTCATCTCATGTGTTATGGGATTCCTTACAAGATTAACGGCTGAAACATTGTCAACCAAGAGTGTGATAGCTTCTTCAACCTTACTGCACAACTCTTCTAGCAGATTCACAAGTCACACAATCTAACACGCACACATCGATGTAGCGATATACTCGGCCTCACAAGAAGAGAGTGCCACCATAGATTCCTTTTTAGAGCACTAAGAGATTGGAGCTCCGCCGAACTTAAAGACATAAGCAATCGTAGACTTTCGATCATCCTTACCTCCGCACCAATTAGAATTTGTGTAACCGAGTAACTTGCATTTTCTGCCCGTATCAACAGCGGGAAAGAGTATTCCACAGTCAAGAGTTCCTTCAATATATCTTAGATCCTCTTAATTGTTGCCAAGTGAGACACCTTTGGTCTCTCTATGAATCTACTTGCAATACCAACATTAAACGCCAAATCTGACCGTGTATTACACAAGTAACGTAACAATCCAATCAACCTCCTATACTGCATTGAATCCACATTTTACTCATCATCACTTTTGGACAGCTGCAACCTTGCTTCAATAGGTGTACTAGAAGCATTACAATGCTCCATATCACACCTTTTTAAAATCTCAAGAGCATACTTCCTTTGATGCATGAGCAGTCCCAATTTTGACTTGTGAAACTCTATGCCAAGAAAGTAAGTCATGATTCCAAGGTCACTCGTTTCAAATTCTTCCATAAGCTCACTCTTGAACTTAGAAATATTCACCTTATTGCTGCCTGTGATCAATAAATTGTTCACATATAAGCAAAGTATGATCACATCTTTGCTTGCATCCATATTCACATAGATACCATGTTCGGAAACACATTTCGCGAAGCAAACTTCAACTAGAAAAGCATCAATGTGTTTGTTCCAAGCTCTAGGAGTTTATTTCAAACCATAAAGCGTTTTCTTCAATTTCTAAACTTTTCCCTCTTGATTTGTGACAACAAAACCAGGGGTTGCTCTACATAGAATTCCTCCTCAAGTATACCATTCAAAAACATGGATTTCACATTCATTTGATAAATTGACCAATTATTGTAATTCACAAAACCAACAATCAACCGTATGGTTTCTAATCTAGCCACAAGTGCAAACACCTCATCATAGTTTATACCTTCTCTTTGCAAAAATTCTTTCGCAACTAGTCGACCCATATGCTTGATAATT